CAATTAATTTCCCAAAACCCACTGCCCCAACACACCGTTTGCTTGACGTGGTTTTGGAGTTTTTGCTCTTGCTCTGGTCAGCCTTCTTCAGAAGTTCTCAATAGTTTAGGAAAAGGTGGCTTTTGAACATTCAAGACAGGTATGACGTGGTAACAGTCTGTTTTCTACTGAGGTACAGTCTCCTCTTTCATATTTAGGAAGTGCTATGCTGCCAGGGTCCCCGGCCAAAGAGCTGCTCCCAAAAGCATGTAGACAAGTGCTGGGCTGCTCTCCCAATTTTACAGGAGGAGCTGGTGGTCCTAAACCTGGGAAGAAGTATCTCTGTGGGATGACAGGGCTTGTGGATCCACTCATGAGCTAGACTTATCCTTACAGGACTAATGCCATATAGCAGTACTCATCTAACAAGATTTCATTTGAAGCCCTCTCTCATCGGCCTGATCTCCTTACAAAGTCCTTCCAGTTTCAAAATATTCATAGTATCTGTAAAGACTCCACAAACATACAGGTTTTTAACACAGGAAAATAGGATGAATAGGTGGGTTGTCTTCCTTTGATAGTTGAGTTACAATAAACACATTCACCTCCTGTTCCAGCACTTCTTGTTTTTAATCTTTTATTTTGCTTTTCATTTTCTGAGTAATTATGTTCTATTCACAATTCAGCTTTCCAAGAACACTAAAGCAGATGCAATGGTCAAGGATCTCTATGTTGAGAATGCACAACTGCTGAAGGCTTTGGAGATGACAGAACAGCGGCAGAAAACTGCTGAAAGGAAAAACTATTTACTAGAAGAAAAAATTGCCAACCTCAATAGAATAGTAAAGAACTTGGCATCCCCATCGTTTAATTCAGCATCTGAGATAAGGTCATAGAAAAGCCATTAAGTCTGCCACAGTCCCATGCACTTTACTGAAATGTTAATATTTCAGCTTTTCACTGTGTTGCCTTTTTGTATTGATGAATTTCAGTTAACAGATACCTCCAAGGAGAGGACAGAGCTAAATCCTAAACCGGACACTGCCAAAAGAAAACTTTTGTTTATTCCCAAACTGCTTTTCTGCTAAGTTTTGCTTAAAAGTAATCTTCACTATGTAAAAAAATACATGTTTTTTTTAGGTTAACTTATTTTGATACTTTGGTTTTAATTTAAAATATAAATTTTGAATTTACTGTACTGAGTCGATTGAAGCCAAGGTCTAATGCAAACTTACTGAATTCAAAACTTAAAAATATTTTTGGCTTTCTAGAATACTTCATAGTCTTAACCTAGTAATATTAGTAGGTCAGTCTTCAACACTGTCAGTATAATTGCTGTTGAAAGCAAGACTTCCCTGATATGGTCTATGTCCTGCAAACTGATTCTGATTTCTGTAAAGCAATATGCTCCACTATATGCATTAGGGTTCTGGGTTATTCTTCATGGCTGTTTCTCTGCCGAGCCCAGAAAAAAAGTTTTCTTAAAAATATGTAGACTACTGCCTCCAACTAAGTATAACAGTATTTCATCTGAAGAACTTTCACAGCTGGCAAATAAAGACTACTACTTTTTTTATTTTTTTTTTTTAAGCTGTGCTGCCAGACAACCTAAGAATTGCAGGGGCCTTAATTTTTTTGTGCGTGGAAATAAATTAAACTAAACAATGGAAAAGTCACTAAGTAGAAGTGAAGATGTGAGGTTTGTTTATATAATTTGTAAATTCAGTAAAGCAGTGGAGTATGTTTATTAAACAACTGGCAGAAGAAGGAAAAGGGAAACTTGAATTATTTTGTCAGTGAAATCCTCACACTGGGCCTCACAAACATGGACCTTTGCCATTGATGCAGTGTTTGTTTTGACCTGAGTGATAATTTGGAAAGGCCTGTCTTTTGTAGTAGATCCTAGTACCGAATCTAAATTTGTAATTAATTGTGAAGAAACATATTCAACGCGAATATGAAGAACTCAGGGAATAACAGCTTAAATTAGCTTCCTTCAGCATTATAAATGTGGATATTAATGTCAATAGATGAAGATAAATATGCATTAGGAAAAACAGGATAAACCAAATTGTATTTGGATGGGTATTACCTTAGTACTCCTAGACCACCATGCAGAAGTGCTGTAATCATGAAGGTCGAAGAGCATCGAGGTTTGTAATGACAGGCAATACCTCCAATCTGATCAGTCGACGAAGCTGGGGAAATGCAAGTTTCCTGGGAACACCTTCAAGATTCGGAGGGGTTTGACACAGAAGCAGCTGAATAAGAGCTTGCACGATCAAATGCTTGTATATAACCTATTGCTGCAAATAGTCTAAATGCCCTACAGCTGCCTTGCCTCCATCGGACCAGTAAGACACATTTAAACAATGTACATAAAACTGGTGAAAGGGGCCATACTGGCAATACTTGAAACTGGAGCTCTTTAAATATGCATGAATTGAGGATGCAGAGGAAGAGGGCAAGATGTTTTGTGTCTCAGACCGCTATCAAGGTCACAAATTCTGACAGCACTTGTAATGAACCAAAAGTCCCCCAGAAACCGGGGTAATACTGCCTACAAGCTGTGGAGAAACCTGTGGAAAATTACTTTCACTCAGTCCTGATCACCATGTGGCTGTAGGGGATGCTATCTCTGCCTAGATGGTTACTTACCAACGTTGGAGAGTTGAGGGACTGAGTTAAACACACAGGATATGACCTCCTCTCCTCCTCCGTTGCTTTATGCAGGTGATGCAGTGGAAATGGAAATACAAGAATGACACGTTGGAGTATCACAAAGTCCTTATAAATTATTTCACTGCTGCTATTCTAAATGCCTATACTGGCTATTTCTCTGAGTAATCCCAAATTCAGGGATCTACACGTCTCATTTTTCAGAGGCTGCAAAAATGTTTTCAAAAATTTGAAATGTGTCAAGTTGACAAAGTTGATATAAATCAGAGCTTTAAAAAATTTGTAGTAGTGAGATCTTGTTTCTTTTAATATTAATCAATAAGTGTTATCAATTATAATAAATCTCTCTGTGTGGGTACCAGGGCTGTGTGTTAGCAATGCGGGAATTGAGCACACCCTAAAACCATGCCTATGCTATGGAAATTAGCAAAGTTTCAAAATACTTCCAGGGATCAATGTAAATATGAGGTTCAGATGATCAGGACGGTATTTTGAAAAATATTATTAGCTAGCATATTTTAACACTACTTTATACCTTGACCTAGGTTTACTTCTAATGCTCAGTCTGTGACCAAAGTCTAAATGCTGAACAGAGGGAATAGTACGTCACTGTAACTACTGTGCAATTAATTTCACGCTATTCAATTTTAAAGGTTAGACTACTTAACTAATCCTTTTAATCTCCTGGTAGTTACCAAGCTTTCAAAAACCAAACATACAGACATTTCTAGAGCACAGTACCAAAAAGGGAGCCCAGATATTGGAATAGAAGGGAGAAATGAAGGAAAGGGACTTTGACTTCTCCCTTTCTTATTTTGTCCTACGTTGTTCTACTTTTCTTTCACTTACCTTCAAAAAACTAACCTAACCACAGGAGAGAAGAGGAGGAAAATGTTTGGTAAATGTTTTTTAGACAAAACTCCACTTTCACTGGAACACTTGTGTGAATTACTTCTCAGAAGTGCCTTTTGTAATTACATATTCTAGAGCCTTCCTGTACTGTACTGTTTTTGTTGCTACAGGACAATTCAGGACGATCCCTTCTCAAATGGAGGGAACAGAGAAAGGTAGTGCTGCTTACAGACAAGTGTCACGTTGCTTATTGGCTCATTGTGTCAGCTCAGAAGATAAGCAGCTAGTTTTACAAAGTCCAGGCTACTGATAATAAGCATATAAACATGTAACTTATTAAGCATTAGTGGTCTTTTGTGCATGAATGTGTCTCCTATGCAGTGTAGGCATTTTAAAGATACCAAAGTATTTAACGGTATTGTACCAGTCAAAAGTCACTGAATTTCTAGGCCTTACAGAACAGGTCTTGCCAATTAAGAAATTAACTACTTTATTACCAGAAGGTGTTTTAAATGTTTTAAACTCTTGCTTTATGAATCACTGTGAAAATAAATGCACATAGATATCTTGGGTTGCAAGTTGTGGAAGAGGAAAGACCACAAGTTAAATTTATGTGTACTAAATTCACACAGTTGAAATGCTACTTGTCAATTTAGAATGATTTGAAAATATACATTGTTGCACATTGTCCAATTACTACCTTAAATATGAGCAAAATTGAATTCTGATTGAAAAACAACAAAAAAAGGATTGTAACATATTTGAGTTTAGCCAGATTATGTATAAGGTAGGGCAGGGACAGTCTGGATCAATCAAAAGTAAAATCCTTTTGTTTACTTTCAGCAAATGACATCACTGTCTCTCAGGTTTTCCATCATTTACCTGTTAAGTCTCCTGTTTGGTGTCAGGTGCTGTTATTTCATGACAAATGATTTCTGTATAAATGAAAACAAATGTGGGTGGGGTTTTTTTTTCTATCGAGTTTGTTTTGTTCTGGTGTAATATATTGTCCTTATAACATCATGTAAAACTGAAAGATGAACCAACATTATTTATAATGAATGTAAAAAAAAAATTAAATATTACTGTACGATCCATACTTGTGTCTTCTGCTTTTTATTTAACATGAAAATATTTCCATGGAAGTTGTAGATACTTCGGGTAGTATCTGCAAATTCATCAGATGCATACAGGAAGGTATAATAATAAAAAGGGCAGTTTGGCAGCTACCAAAAGTCGTTTCTTCTATTACGAGAGTTGATTAAAGGGGAAAAAACTTCGGGGGGGGGGGGAGCGGGCAGCCCCCGAGGCGGGTCCGTTTCCCGCCACCGTCCCGGCGCGTGCGCCCTCCCCGCCGCGCGGGGGCGCTCTGACTGCGTGCGCCCCCCCCCCCCCCACCTCCCTGCCCCGCGGCCAATCCCCGGAGGGCGGAGGCCGCTTTACCCACAAGCCCCCGCGACAACCCCCCCCCCCCCCCGCCCCCGCCCCCCCCGCCCTCCTTCCCCTCAGCTCTCCGCCCGGTGCGCGGCCATGAGGGCGCGGAGCAACCGTCGCCGCGCCTGAGGGTCCGGGGGCGGCCGGGGCCGTGCCCTGCGGAGCGGGGAGCGGCGCCGGGCATGCGGGCGGTGGGAGCGGGTCGGGAGGTGGGATGCTGTCGCGGAAGAAGACGCGTACGGAGCTCTCCAAGCCGGGCGAGGTGCAGGGCAAGTACGTGAAGAAGGAGACCAGCCCTCTGCTTCGCAGTGAGTGTCGGGGACAGGCTGAGGGGGGAAAGCCCCAGGCTTTCCGCGGGAGGACCGCGTCCTTTGTGTGCTGCGATTGTGGCCCGGCGGGCCCTGGAGGCCCTGCGCGGGTTTGGGGGGTCCCCTCCTGGGGGGGGGTGGGGGAAGAAATTCCTCTTGTGGGAGCTGGCGGAAGGAGGCTGGCTTTAAAAGGGAGCCCTACGCGTAGTGTACCACCAGCTGCTTACTGTAAACAAACTTGGTTGGCTTTTTTTTTTGTTGATTTTTTTTTTTGTTTGTTTGTTTGTTTTTTCTGCCGTTGCTCAGTTTTCAACAGGCAGGGCTTCAGATAGTCTCCAAACAGGTACCCGTCAGATGAGTGGAACAGCTCATCCCATTCTTTCCAGAACTCAGTGGTTGTTTTCCTGATCTAGGCTGTTTGCCCTGACAAAAGGTGTGTGCTTTGAAAATGAGATAACTGTACGAGGCAGTTGCATAGAATCCCTGCGGAAGCAAGTGCTCCAGTTCTTAACCATGAATCAATGTGGTGAGGTCACCGCTATGTACCTTGGACACTGATCTTTGTGTGGCTAACCTGACGCTAATGCCACGGTCCTGGTTTTGCTAGGACTATACAAAACACTAGCGAATACACCTTGAAAGCGCATTGAGGTTTGCTTCTGTTAATCTTTGAAAATTCTGCTGTAATTGCAGGATGATTCCATGACTGTGATTAGCTTGGAGATCACAACTAGCAACAACTGATCTGCTGGTAGGAACAGGCACTCAGCTTTTCTGGAAGTATTTGCTGCATGAACAGCTGGTTCCCCGGTCAACAGGCAAAATCATTTAGTAGTCAGATTACATTGACATAGTCTTTGAAAAAAAAACAAACCAAAACCCACAAAGCTTTTTTTCATATTAACATGTAGGTGTGTCTGAGGGGTTATTACTTTTTACATATGGTATTTGCCCTGATGTAATGAGTAGCTACTATGACTGCTTTGATTATAAATTTACTGATGGCACCTTCTGGGATGCACTGCATTTTTACCCTAAGTTGTAAAAGTTTATTAATAAAAAATAGTTAATAATAGGCATAACCTCCTAAATGAAAGTCATAGTTTCTGTTAGGTCACTTGGAAGGAAACTACTTATTTATATCATGTTGAAAGTAATAGTAAGGAGAGGAGTGATATCTCACTTACTGGAGGGAGGCAGTAAAATTGTATTAATAGGTGTCACTGTTCATGTGCAGAACCCCTTTAGGTAAAGGAGAAAGTCAGATATCTTCATAATAATTTGAGAACGTGTGCTGAATGACAGCATTTTGCTGGTTGAACTTTATAATTAATGGAGAAAGTGTGGATTCTGTACCTGATTCTGTCATGGATTATTGTGAGCATGTAGGCATTCATGTCTTCAGTTACTCTGAGTTCATAAGGACAGTGGTCTTGACGAAGTGTTAGGTAGCCAGGATACTTGGATTTTCTTGAACCTTCTAGTGGAGAGGTATGAAGCCTGGCTGTTGTAGCCCCAGTACAGTGTGGGGTGGTTTGGGGGTTCTATTGTTTGTGTTTTTTGATGGGTTTGGGGGTTTGTGTGTTTATGGTGGATGCAGTTAGACTGGCAAAATGGTACTCTTGGCAATAGTTTGTTGCTGGAGGGTGTGATGGTTTCTGTTGCACCAGTACAAACTCCAGCATTACCACCATTATACTTACATACGCATTAAAGGTGCATTAAATAGGTTCTAGCATTTGGACTTCTTCAGTTCCATGGTGGAAATCATCATTGTGGCTAGCCAAATGCTTCAGGTGTAAGTACAGCCAAAGTTCTTATTTTTCTTTCATGCTGTATATCAGATCTGATGCCTTCATTTATCCGTCACGGTCCAACCATTCCAAGACGAACTGATATCTGTCCTCCTGACTCAACTTCTTCTGCATATGCTTCTGGTGGAGATGGAATTGTTTCCAGAAACCAGAGTTTCCTTCGAACTCCTGTGCAGAGGCCACCTCATGAAATAATGAGACGTGAAAGCAACAGACTGTCCGCACCTTCCTATCTTGCAAGAAGTTTAGCTGATGTCCCTAGAGAATATGGCTCTTCCTCCCAGTCCTTTTTAACAGAACCTAATTCTGTTTTGGAAAATGGAGATGCTGGTGCCCGATGTTATTATTATGACCATTTTTATGATGCCCAGAGGAGACGTCAGTTAAATGATCGCGTACACGAGGACTACAGGTATTATGAACACAACAGCGATCTTTTCCAGAGGATGCCACAGAATCATGGGAGGCACACTTCAGGTAATTATTGTTGCTTTTTTTACAATATGTTTTTAATAAGACTTTGGATACAGAGGTGTATCAGGATGATCAGGGTCATGTGCTTAGGAGTTATGCTTTGTACGACAGAGCTTCTTTTAATGACATTTCTGTGATCCAGGTACACTGTGTGCTCACATTTCTTAATTCTAAGAATTTGCCTATATTCAGAAAGGAAAAAATATACTAAAGCCAGGATTTATTTATTAAGTGGGGTAAGGTTGAGCAAGTTTTTTTTAATGCCAAGCATATATGCAACTCATGACAAAGTTGATTCAGTTGCTAACTATCAAGGAATTTTATTCATTAGGGGACATCTACTATTTTCATGATGTAGAGAATAATCAAAGATCTAAATAACAGCACTGCTGTTTTGTTTTATTATAACTATCATTGTGTTGTTATTTAATTTTCTTGTGTTAATTTGACCTCAATAATTAAAATAATTTATTGTAAATAGTCAACGGGAGGAATGACTGCTTTATGTAATTAGCAAATTGACATAGAGTTAGTGCTGAAATTGACTTCCTAGTCCATGATTTTTATTTTCTTTCCTTTTAGCTTGTAATATTGTTTATAAATATGCCTATTTCCCCCTCCAATTCACTGGAACTTGTCTTTGTTTTCTAATGGAAGAACAGCATAAGAGAGAAGAATCCACTAAATACTACTCTTTGAAATACTTGGTTCTATCTGTGATGACACTGAAGAATAATTCTTGGGTGCAGTGTGCTGTTGTCAGTCTATTGGTGAAATAAAAAGTCTGGGATTACAATATTGGCCATAGAAAGGTGACCTTAAAGTTGTAAATTTGGCTGCATTTGAGCACTGCATATACTACAGAAACTCTGTTCAAGGAGGAGTTTGAAACAAACATTTTGAACCTGTAAATAACTTACCTTCAACACTAAATACGTTATTAGTTTGTTACTACTTGTAATCTGTGAACAAAATAGTACGTAGTCTCTAGTGAAATAAATCTCCCGTCTAGAAAAATAAATCTGCTAGGAAGAATGTCAACATTTAAGGCTGCTGACCTTGTGTATGGGATTATAACCTGACCATGCTTTCTGAGGTTTTTTTTCATAGAGAAACATTTCAATATAAAGTGACAGAAGAGTAATGCTAGTGTTACTTCTGTCAGCCAGTAAATTTTGAAATACTAAGGACTTGCTCCTTTATCTTCATTTATTTTCCTAAATGCATCTGATCCACCTAGATTTTGCATGAGAGCCCTCCATCTCTGTCAGTTGTTCAGCTGGCAGTCATTAAACAGTTACCTGGTCCAGATAAGGAGCACCTCTTAGCGTGTGCTGGGATATGGTAGGGAGGAGAGGCAGGAGGGGAGGATTTCATAAACCCATCCATCATGTTAACAGTCAAAATTATTACACTAACTGTGTATGCTGAGGAAGATTTCAAAAATGGTGCTGCTGCTTTGTAGAATTGAAACAGTTAAGTGGAAATGGAGTTCTATCTATCAGTTTGAAAGTGGAGTTTAATTTCTTAAATTAATAATTTAATTCTTAAGGTAAAAGGGGGGCTTTACAGCCATATTTTTCTTATTTGTAGCAACATGGATTTCTTTCTAAAAAGACTTTATTTTCCCCCTGTTTGTCTACATGCCCCCTTAGCCACTGGAAATCATAAGAGCTGCTGCAGTTTGTTTGGTTTCTGTCATTCACTCTCATATTTTTACATTTAATAGTTTGAACAAGTTCTACATTATTTTATAACGGTGAGTATTCAATCCCATGCATTTGTAGGGAGAGACAAAAAAAGGTGAGCCTTTTGTCTGCCAAAGTGTTTCCCTTTTCCTCTGTTGTTTTTTCTTTCATCTCATCATGGAATGTGAAATCTTAAATTCCTCTTTCACTACAGTAAGAATATTGACCTATGTCCTTAACTTTTGTACATCTTTTCAAGAATTGCCATTACTTTTCCTCAGTAAAAGAATTACGTGGCCAAAAATAAGAAAACCTTACATTTTCTTACTAATTCCATCTCACCATTAAGCTTCTTTTTATTTGAACCATATAATACTGAGGCAGGCCTTTGACTTTCATTGTCTTTCTCTAAATTACTTTTTCCTCACACACCTCCATTGTTGTTTCTGAATGTTTCATTTAAGCAAAATTCTTCATCAAGATAATTGATGACAAAATTGCCTAATACCTACAGTTTCGACACATGAGTGTGTTTATTAGCTATGCTGCCTTCTATGCTTTTCTTCCTTTCCCACCTTCCCTTAGAAGGTTCCCCCAGTCAGTCCCGTTACGGTTGGGTTTGATTGCTGCAGAAATGTTGCCTGGTGAACACAAGGTACACTTGTTATTGGTGAGCGATGTTTCATTTGGGGTTGGTTACGACTGAGATGACTTTGGAGCAGTGGTCTGGAAGGGAAGAGGTGCATGGGGGAATTTCAGCTTTTTTTCAGAATAAAGATTCCCCTCTGTATAATTTGGAGATAAGTTGAAAACGTGTTCTTACTGAGATCTTCATAGTCAAAGTATTCAGCAAAGTATTTAAGAAAGTCCCGTAATTTTTCAGCAATTTATGTTGACAGTGTTGTTGCGTTCTGTTATAGGCATTTCTTCTTGAAGTCCTGTTGTCTCTCTCGGTATGATTCAATACTACCATGTCCTCCTTATTTTCATTAGATTTGTTTTGAATTGGCAATCCAGTGCTGTTTGTTTTCCTGAAAAATGTCTTCAACTGAGATATTTCTTGGTTTTGTATGTTTAGCTATCTCTGTGGCATTTCTTGAAAACATTTTTTAGTGTCCATTTGAAACTTAATTCTAAGAGACTTTACCTGTCTTTCCTCGACATCTCTTTCCTCTCTTCTAGGTTAAAGGTTTGGGGAGGTCTGTGGTTGAAGTTATATCTACAGTATAGATTGGAACTAACTTGTAACCAAGACCTCAGAGTTATTTGTACCTGTTTGAGCGGTAAGCTGAAAAATTCTTATGTGTATGTGAAAATTGCTGAGATTAAAATCACCGTGTAAAGGGACTTTCTGATGGTGGATTGTAAGCGGTTGACTGTGATGTCAGAGGAGGAAAATGCTTAATCCTGTGGACAGAGAATCCAGTGCACTTTAGTGAAAATAGGTTCATCTCATGTTAAATTGTACCCCTTAAGAATTGCAAACTGGTATTTGTGTTTAATATAAAAGCAAAATTAATAAATAGAAATTATTAAATGAAACCTATTTAGAGCTAAAGTAGCAGGGCTTTTCTTTTTAGATCTGTACACTTCACGCATTTTTAAACAAATGGCAATTCCTGCTCTTTTCTTCTTTTGTGCTGATTTTGCAGTAACTTCTTTGTAGCATGCTTTTTGAGGCTTTCAAAGTACTTCCTGTCATTTCCTATTTGTGAATTTATGCTTACTTGGAGTTCCCTCTGACAAAGGAGGTACTTGTGTTCAGGAAGTACCTTCAGATGCTTTGGAATGGGTTAGGAAGGCCTAGAACCTGCAGACCTCGCTAAACAGGATAATTATTGGAACTTCTTTTTGCTATTTTATTATTACTTACTCTCTTAAACAGTTCGTTTGCCTTTTCTTCCTCTTCTTCATCCTGGTTTGATGAGGGGAAGGGAGAGGATTTTGGCATCCCCAAAAAAAGCTCTCAAGACAATTTACCTAATTAAAGACAAATACGAAGGCCTTTTGTTTGGCTGGATTTGTTCTTCACCACTTTAAAATTTGGTTGAAACTAGTTGTGGGGAATTCATAGGCTCTGAAACTTGTCTGCCTACATCAGCACTGTATCTAATAAACACAGTGAGACTTTCTCTTCAGTTTTTCTGCTCTTTTCCCTTTATGCTGGACTGCTCTGGTGGTAGGGTTTTCCTCCTGTGCTTTCTACCAGGCAGACTGAAGAACTGCCTTTTGCTGACCTGGAAACCCTTCCTCCTAAGAACATGAACTTCTTTCTGGGCAACGTGCCTTTACAATAAAACCCCTTCAGTGAGCTGAGAGCATTAACGTATATCGCGTACGGTTTTCTTTGTTCCGTACTAATGAGACAAACCAAACAGAACTTCCTTGATTGAAGAAGATACTACATATTCTTCACATTTGTGACGTTATTAGCTTAAGATACATTTCTAAGAGAGAAATATTAAATGAACGAATCTTTGCACTGATACCTTATAATGCCCTTGAATGTGGTGCTCAAAGTTCAAGTTTGGATTCTGGTATTAGGATGCCCTGTTGTTGAATATGTTGAGAATAAGACTGAATATAGAGCCTGGCTTTACTTAGAACTCAGAGTATCTTGTTTAGAGCATACACAGGGGTACTCCTAAGCAAGCAGACTGCATTCAACAGAATTCTCTTTTGCTTTGGAACAGCATATGATGCCTGGTGGCCTGGTTGACAATTAATTCAAGACCTTAAAGTGAAGATATTATATTTTACAAGAGAAAGAAAAAGCGAATCCACAAATAAGGTTCAGTATTGATGTTTCTTAAAAGCAACAGCTGAAGCAAAAAATACCCCAAACATATATACCATTATGAATCAAGAGTTAAGAAGTGAGGCTAGACAGGTTCTAAAGAGGCAACCCGAAAAGGGTTTACAATTGCATAAATTTAAACTCATTGTTGACCATTTTTGAAATTTGATAGTGCCACTCAGGGGAATTTATAAAGAACGGTTCTCATCCTTAAGCAGAGGAAAGGAGACCTTTAACATTTGGAAAAAATAGATAATTTAAACCTTATTCATTGGGAAAGCAGGAAGAATGAGAATTTCTGTTTCATCATAGATAAAACAGTATGTAAGTGTGAAACCCCTGAGTAGTTACAGTGAACTGGTTTGACTACTCTGGTTTTACTTATTGTATGGTAGAGACCATATCCTCCATCGATAGGAAAATCACAGCTTTCACACTAGATGTTTTGATAAAAATGGATCGAGTTGTAAGTTTGGGGTTTTTTCTGTAGATATTTTGCATTGCGCTATGTAAATGTGGTACCAGCCCATGATTCAGGGAGTATCTTTGATGTTTGCAGCAAAATTCTGTGCAAAGCTTTGAGCTGCTGTGAAAGTGCTTTAGGGCTAAGACCTTACCTGAAATTTAAATATAGAAGAGTGTCATAATTTGGCAGTATGACACAGGAAAGGTAGTGTTCACAGTAGATAGTTTTAGGCTGTCTTGTAACTTACTACTTTGGCTTATACTTTGGAAGAAGTCACATAGGAATTTACGCTTCCTAGTGTTGTTCAGTCTTATGATTGATACTTAGAGGTATATTTATGTGAAAGTCAGTTTTCATTTTCTCTTATTGTTCATAATCATAGCAGGAGCTATTTCTCTTGTATGTGTATCCACTCTCCCTTGAAGGAAATGTCTGCTGAGTTTTATAAGGAAAACCAATATACAACTTCTTTTGATCTCTAGTAACTCAAATTATATATACAAATGTCTAAATTGTGCTAATTGCCAATTTGAATGCCATAGTGGGTTGATGGTTGTAAGACATTGAAGACCTCATGTCTTAAAACTTCCAGCACACAGAATATTTCAGTATGATCTGTGATTTTTAAGGGGAAGAATGCACATTAAGTCTGTACATGATAGTCTACAACCTGAAGTATTTGCAACCATCAGTTTATAAATCTGACCTTTGATTTAATAATTAAGAGCTTTCTAGTTGTAGAGGCTTGAAACATTGTTCGAAACTGGTAACTGATACAGCTGTGTAAGTTTGCCTTAACGGTATGAATCTGCTCCAAAAATGAAGTCAAAATGACAAAAGGAATGCATATTGTACTTGTCTGGTATTATTTTTGTTCTTTGCATCTTGGAAATCAAAAAAAAAAAAAGCTGACATTAGGAGAAACCGTGTAGCTTGAATTAAATGATTGTGCAAACACAGCGTTGCCTTTCCATTAGGTGTGGCATTGCTTTTTAGACTGCTTTCTAGGTGATTTCTCTATGTAATCTAGATTTTGGTGTTCCTCGCTACCTGAGTCTATCTCCCAGTCTTCTCAGGCTTTTGTATGAAGAGATACAGGCATTGTGTCAAGAAAACTTCTGGTGCAGAGGTTGATTTGTGCAACTTTTAATACCAGTTTCCAAATTTCTGATGCTTTAGAAAGCACTGACCTTTACCCCAAGGAATGCATATGTATGTATTTGCTGCTGGAATTGTGCTAGAATTTAAGTAGGAGAAACTGTAACAAAAATACAGATGTGCTGGTTTTAACAGTAAACATAAATATGTTTATGGCTTTGAAAGTTCTTTCCCCCAGTAAAGTTTGTGTGTTCAGATCTTCTGGTAGCAGTAATTTAATAGTCACTCTTTATATGTACATGAAATTACAACACAGCAGTCTGATTAATTGGAGGAAATACTGAATTTGTTTATCCAAAGTGCAGTATTTTCAAGAAGCTTAAATGTTTGTATTTTGTCATTGGAATGAAAACAAAACCAGTGACATAACTGTAGCGAGGGTCTGAAATAGTTTCGCTGCCCCAGTACTGCTAAAGGTCAGGAAGCCTCCAGGATGTTTCTCCTCACTGGAAGTAAAGGTCTCGGCTGGTTAATGCTGGTGAGAGACGGGAGCCATCAGCTTTCCTTTATAAAGCTCACAAATAGGTAAGTACTGTAACGAGAGGAAATACTTAAGGCCAAATAGTTTAAAACACAACAACACTAGGAAAAGATTTGTAGATGAGCACAAACGTTTTAGAGAACTTGGGAAGAAATTTGTGAGTTTGTTTTTTTAATTTATTTTTTATTTATTCGGTTGCTTTGGAGCCTTCCCCTTACTTTATTGTTGATGACTGCTATCTTGTATTGGAATGACAGCCCATCCAGTTTTCAGTCTATGTCATTTTATGTGTAAATGAATTCTTAAAATAGCTGACATCCCTTGGTGTCCTGGTTTTAACCCCAACTAGCAGCTAAGCACCACGCAACCGCTCGCTCACTCCTCCCCCCTCCCAGTGGGATGGGGAGGAGAGTCGGGGGAAAAAAAAAGGTAAAACTAGTGGGTTGAGATAAGAATGGTTTAGTAACTAAAAAAAAAAATACTATAATAATAATTGTAATGGAAAGGAATATAATAAAAAAGAAATAAAACCCAAGACAAGTGACGCACAGTGCAGTTGCATCGGTCAGCAGGTGGTGAGCCTGAGCAGCAATCCACCCCCCAGCCAACTCCCTCCAGTTTCTGTACTGAGCAGGACATTCTGTGATGTGGAATAGCCCTTTGACTAGTTTGGGGCAGCTCTCCTGGCCGTGCTTCTTGTGCACCTCCTCGCTGGCAGAGCATGGGAAACTGAAAAAGCCTTACCTTAGGGTAAGCACTGTTTAGCAAAAACTAAAACACTAGGCATTATTCTCACACTAAATCCAAAACAGAACACTGTACTAGCTACTAGGAAGAAAATTAACTGTATCCCAGCTGAAAGCAGGACGCTTGGCTAGCAGGCTGTATTGTGTATGTATATTGAAAAAGACTGTTGCCTTTGTCAGCAAACGAGTACAAAATTGCCTGAGAAATGCAATGATTTTGCTGCTACTTCAGTATTACTGTTGTCTTTTTGAGTTAATGACTGCAGACCTGCCTTTCCCTTCTGCTCTCTCAAAAAGTAATCTCACAAATGTTATTTCTGAAAAACAGAAGGGGTATATTCCTCAGTCAGTAAATGTGGTGCTTGTGATGGAGTCACTTTCTGACTTCTGAGAAAATGGAAAAAGCGGTTCCCATACCCCTTCCTCTGGCTGTGGGAAATAATAACACACAAACTCCAATGAATACTGTGATTGAATAGATGCATTTGATTGTGATGAAAAGATAATTGGAGTTTCTTTAAAGCCAGAGACTTTATAATTGTAGAACTGTGGGTAACTACCAAAGAGGATTTTTAAAAAGAGTGTGGAATTTAGGTCAGCATGGCCAGTAGGTAGCAGGCTTCCAAGGAATGGAAAGAGACTTGCAAAATTCTCGTGTCGCTGGGTTTTTGGGGTTCGGGTTTTGTTTTGGTTTGGTTTTTTTTGTAATTATTATTATGGCTCTTATTTCAACTAGCTTCCTAAATATCCATAGTATATAGAGGGAAGGAAAAGATTAAATTGAAATGATGTGTCTTCAGTGTGTCTATCAGCATCCAGCATGCTGATTTTTAAAATCTAAAAACTTTGTGTATGTTACAATAAATCATGTGTTTTAAAATGCTGGTGAACCATTGCTTAAATCATCTGTTTAGCAATCTATCCTGAATGTGCTGGGTTTCTAGGGCAGAGGTAGGAACTTAATCAACTACTGATTCCTGGCAGCCCTGCTGCTGCCAGTACACCAAACTTAGGCTTTAGTTCTCTTGTTGGAAAGCCCTTCTGCTAGTGCAGCCCACATCACCAAGAAAAGCTGGAAATTACTTTTTTCATGTGCCTCTTCAGCATAATAAAGAGTAGGTACTCGGTTTCAGAGAAGAGCAAGATGTAGAGAAGCAGATGTACAGCCTAATAGCCAGCAAAACTTCCTTCCAGGATCTGTGGAAGGGAGAAAGGGGGTGGAGGGTGATGAGAAGAATTTTGAGACTCGCTCTGAACAAAAAGTCTCTGGATCTTGTCTGGATTGCATTCAGAAGGCCTGGCTGTCCCACCCAGCAGTGCGCATAAACTAGCTAGTCTAATGAGTGTGGGTAGTTTTAGCGAAGAAGGTATGGCAACATCAACTTCAGTGTGGGCAGGATGACCATGTTCAGCAAAGGGCTTGTGCAGGATCCTCTGTGGGTTCAGCTTTTCTGTTTTCTCTTGTTACTGATGACGCTTTTTGGCCGTGATTGCACGTGCTTGAGTAATAACGGTCAGGGCAGGATGGTGCTAACCTTGTGCCTCCTCTCTTGGTTTACCTGGTCCTGTTACTGCTCTTGACTGGTTAATCTGAAAAGCTTTGTTGATATTCAGTGATTTCTCCACATAGTTGTAGTTTCTGACTGAGTAGAAAAAGAAATAGCTGTGGTTTGAGGGAGATAAACAGTTTTGATGCAGCTGTAATAGCATGTTAAAAGAAACTGTCATTTATTTAAAGCTTTAACATTTGTAATCTAATGTTAGCTCTCTGCACAGCAAATTGAGACAATAATAGCTTAATCCCTGTTATGTGTGCTAATATACATGTCTAACTGAAAGAGCAGGGATGCTTGTAACTGTCTCTGAAGCTGTCTGGTGAATCTGGAGTTGAAGGAGAGCGAAACAAGTGAGATTTAACAGGGAATAGCTATTTTGACTTCTCGCCTTTTTATTAACGCACGAGTATCATGAACACCATGATATTGTTCAGAGTTCACAGGGTGCCTCGTGGTGGGGAGGGGAAGCTAGCTTTGTAGGTAATGTTGGGTTTGGGTATTATCAGTTAAGCTAAACATTGCTTTCCCCTTTTTTTAGGCATTGGTAGAGTTGCTGCTACTTCTCTAGGAAACTTAACAAATCATAGTTCTGAAGATTTACCTCTTCCTCCTGGCTGGTCAGTGGACTGGACTATTAGAGGAAGGAAATACTATATAGATCATAACACTAATACAACTCACTGGAGCCATCCACTCGAGCGCGAGGGACTGCCTCCGGGATGGGAGAGAGTTGAGTCAGCAGAATTTGGAGTGTATTACGTAGATCACATCAATAAAAGAGCTCAGTATAAGCATCCTTGTGCTCCCAGGTAAGATATCTGCCTTCTCTTCTGTGGCTGGATTTTTCTTAATGCAGTTCAGAAAGTGGAACTGTTTTTGTCTCATAACGTGCCAAAACCTTCTTATTTTTAGAAGTAAGCTTTACTGGTTCTTGACTAAGATTTTTAGAAGTTGTAATTGCTAGGTTTTTGTCTCATCCGTTACTGTCTTAAGTTTAAAACCAGGATATTCTTCCTAACTCACTAAAAGCAGCTATTCTCTTCGACTGTCAGTAAAATAGCAAAGTTGTTGAGAACAGAATTGAATTGTAGACTGAAAAGAAACTCGAACCAGGAGACTGTCTGAACAAGTAGCATGTACCATCTGAAACATGAATTAAGTCTTGTCTAGAATGAAAATCAGTATTTTAGCTACTCATAATTTAAAGGCAAAATAAAGTTAGTGTACACCAAATCTAACAGTTAATTTCTGTTACTCAATCTATTTTTGCTGTTACCTAGGAAGTGAAAGGTTTTTAACATGTGGTATGAAAGATAAACATATGAGGATGGCCTTTGTTATAAATGGAAAAACTTATCAGCTGCTGCCCAAATACATTTGTTCTAACATACTAAATGGTGGATTAATTGGCTGAATCAGTACTTGCCATTTTAATGTTGTAAAAACAGATAGCATTTTTTGTTCTGCTGTAGTATCCAGGCAGCAGGCACTAGGTGAATAGGTCTAAGGTGAATTTTGCGGTGTGCTAACAGATAGCAGCAACACTTACACTTGTGATGGGAGTGAAGCACAAAAATAGCAACAGAAAGTCACAGTATAGGCCTGCTGAGGCAACACCGCCTGTGTGGTTGCATCACCCGCCTTTGCGTGGATGAATCTGTGTAATGTCAACAATTTAACAATATCAGTATGTCTAAGTTATTACGTGGAGGTTACGGACTTTGTCTGTCTGTCTTCGTACAGCGTTCCCCGTTACGACCAGCCTCCTCCAGTGACTTACCAGCCGCAACAAGCCGAGAGAAGCCAGCCTCTCCTTGTCCCTGCAAACCCCTACCACACTGCGGAGATTCCAGACTGGCTCCAGGTCTACGCCAGGGCTCCTGTAAAGTGAGTTTTGGTTTTTCTTCCCTCTGCCTTTCACACCATGCATGCATAACTTAGAAGAAAAGCAAGTGAATTTTGATGACTGAAAGTAGAACTCTAACTGGTATCTGTTTCTTAATTGCATAAGAACTATTGCTGACAGTGCATGAAGAAGTTGTACCAGATGTTCATCGCGTGAGTTTGCTTTGTGTTGGGCATTCATAAAATCATCACAGTACTTCTGGCAGTTCACATGACTTGCAGAATGATGTATTAGAGAGTTGAGGATATGACTTACCATCAGTGATTTGTGAGAACGGTACCATGTGCTTGTAAAATATGTGAAGTATTTTTAGGGTGTGAACTTCTTCATTTATATTGTACTCCTTTTTAAAAAAGACACAAATTTTCCTTCACAGTGAAGAATTTTGACTACAGACTGAAATCTATATTTCTAATCAAGAACTTTAATTAAAAACTAAGTGGTAGTAAAAAGTCATTTTTTCAAAGAAACAATGCTATGGGAACAGGGAGTCTCCTCCAAGAAAAGATTTGAGTCAGCATAATGGAAGAAATTACATTTTCTAATGGGTACAGTTCTGCAGAAGAGTAACACTGAATAGAAAAGTAGTAAAAAAATCCAGATACATTTTAATAATTATGGAATCATGTATTTTTTCATAAGGGGAATATGGAGAAGCTAAGTGTTACAGCAGTGAGCTGATCAGTCTGTAGTTGCAAATTCAGACTGTGTATGATGTTCAGTGACTTCCACTAAAAAGTCCTCCTTTTTTTAGCTGCTTCTAGTAACTATAATTTGAATGGGTTTTATTACTACTTCTGGCTGCTGGGCTTGCCAGCAGCCCATAAAGATTTAAATTGGCCTAAAATCCACCAGTACACTTACACACCAGAGGTACGCTAAGTTCCTGTAACCTATGGGAGGACTTGTTTCCTAGAAATACTTTTTGGTTTTGGCTGCTGCTGCATGTCTTTATTTAGGTCTTTGGCACATCCAGACAATGTAGTCTTAAATATTTCAACCTGTGTTGTGTGGACTCTTGTTGGTACTTCTCTTGAAACTTGAGAAACAGATTTAAGACAATTCAAACAATTTATCAGTAATTTCTTTATATCTAGTAGGCTGAGACAAATTAAAAAAAAAAAAAGGGGGGCAAAAAACCCCACAAAACAAAACAAAAACATTTAATTCATTCAAGCTGTTTGAATAGAATTTACATGGTTCAGAGGAATCAAAAATTATGTGTTTTCCAGTATCCTTTTAGCCTTCTGTTACAGTAGCGCTGGTGGTAACAGTGATATTGTCAAAATTCTCAAACACTTCCGTGAAGAAATAAATTGTGGTTTATGCTAATACTATACTGGAAAAGTGAGGAGGAGGTAGCAGCTGGCTTAGTGTTACCTCATCTTGAGGTCTTCTTAAGGATCAATTGATGATTTGTTTTCACAGTTAAAATCAAGATCACTGATACATTTTCAATATAATTTTCATAATAAACCTCTGTTGCTGAAGCAACTGGCTTAAACCTTGAGAAAAACATCCTGTGATGCTTGTAAATTCTTCAGTAGTATTGTCCAGAAGCTGAGTGTGAGAACTTAATATCCTCCTATGTTCTGGTGCAAAACTGAAAGTAAGTGGGCAAAACAGTTTCTTAGTAGTAGTAGAGGAATACCTTTTGTGATCTGTTATTTGGAATTTACTGTAAAAATCTGTTGATTATCAGTACAGTTTTTCACTGAAATCATTGTGGTGGTATATTTTGTTATGATTTGTTACTTACACCTGACACTAGCTTGATTTAGCTGACTAAAGGCCAGTCATTTTTATTCAGAAAAGTGAATAATGATAGCAAAAATAAATAATGTTAGCTTTTGTTTCCACAAATTTCTCTGAAGGATAAGAATTCTGGCCACTGGAAAAGTCTAATGGAGAGTTTAGTAGGTATTAGCCATAATGCTTCCCTATTTTAATGAAAAATGGTCAAAGTGTTAAGATAAAAAGCAGATACTTGGCTCACTGCACAGTGGAGAGGCTTTGATGTCTGGTTATAACTTGAGGTTGTAACGATTTCCAATATCAAGGTAACTTTGATACCTTGAAGCATTCTTTTCCCCTCTCCTGGCATCTGTCAAGGGTTGTTTCGAGAGCGTAAGTGCAGCTGTCAGAATTTAGCACAGTGGAATCAAGACTCCTGGCTTGCATTTAACCCCTTGCCAGACTAAAATGGAATGTTTCTCCACCTTCCAAGTTAGTCAGGTAGGTGATCCCACAGTGTGCCAGACTGCCCACCGAGGGTGAGGAGACTGAAAATGCCTTCCTAGCATTCTCTTCTTCCAGTTTGGGGCATGTCAGTGCTTCTCGTGTTGAAAGTCTCCTATTCTATATAAAATAGTTGCTATCTACTGGGAAAAGCACTGGAGACAGGGTATTCTGACTGCATGTTCTGCCTAATAAGCTCCTGCTTTCTCACCCGAGAGGGAAGGCTGCACCCTGTAAGAATTTTGTGCTAATGTGCTTTTTCCTCTCTGCAACCAGCTGCTCTTCTAAAAAAATACCTGCTGAGTCTAGGTCAGGTATTGGTACTCCGTGCCCTGTTCCTCACAGCATCTCTGGTGAGTGTTCCTAAACCTACGATCTTTTGGATTCAAATTGAGCCCATTCCCATTGAGGCACTGCTGATGGTTTAATCTTTAATTAGACTTCTTCCCCCATTCCACACTGCTCTCGGCAGGCGAAAGGAAGCTCTCCCACTGAAAAGTAATCCTGATGTGCTGCTGCTCTTGAGAAACTGTCAGCAGGGCTTCAGAGAGCTAAAGAACCACCAAGGTCTTTGCAATCTGTGATGATGCTTTAAAAAAAAAAAAAAAAAAAGGAAAAAGCTGCAGGCCCTAGAAAACCTGCTAACACATTATTGCAGGTGACAGAGCTTTTTTTTTCTTGCTTGCTTGTATTGTCACCTTAATAAGCAACAGTCCTTCCATTGAGAATCAGCCTTGCTGCGGAATGTATTTTAATAAATGCCATTGGCTCAGAACATTTGAAAGGATACCTCAGCATGGGGCAGGTGAGGGGAAATCCTGCTCATGCCGAGTGGGAAAGGAGCAGAGGTGGAAAGGTGTTGTTCACATAAACTCAACAATCGAGTGCTTACAGAGATAGTTGTACTTGGCAAATGTTCCCAAGCAGCAGCTGGCGCTCTGCCTCTCTTGGGCTCTGATCTCCATGTTGACAAAGAGCTTCAGTTTGGTTTTTCTTGCTTTTGGGGAAAAGTGATTTCAGCAGTGCAGCCATGTCAAGACCTGGAACAACTTTGATATGACAGCTCTGATTTAGCAAGTTTGTAGAAGCTGTGGTTATTTGGGTTCTTAAAATTATTCAGAAGCATCTTTGGTAGTCATCCACATGTCTTGGTGCTTCTATATCTTTGCAATTTGTAATGCAGTTATACTTGCATAAATTTACTGATATTTTGGCTTCAACTCCATTGACATGACTACATTTGCTCATGTCATTCATTAAAATGTCTGTTGTAGGGTAAGACTCGGATCAAACAAAAGATTAAAACAGGGTTGGGGAATTGCTGTTTCCTCACTTTGCTTAGGAAATCCCGCAGCTTGGCTTATTCCCGGAGCTGGCCAGGCCTGTGGCGGGACGCTCTGCTGCTCAGGGCCCCTTTCCAGGGACAGCATTAGCACCCCTGCTCATTTTGGGGTGATATTCTTGAAGTTCTCTCAACACCAGGCTCTCCAAGCCGAGGTAGGCTCAGGTTAGCTCAGCCATCCCCACCAACGAGAACCGTGCTTAATCGTGTCGCGCCTTGTTCCCTCCAAGCCCTGGGCAGTGTGTCTGTTCTGGGCCCGTGTCTGCCTGGCTGCTGGCTCATCTCGCCCTGCCTGGCTTCTCCGGGCATCACGCTGAGGTGGAAGGAGAGAACAGCCTGTTTATTTTAAGCTTTGGCATATATCTAGCCATCTGAAGTCACTCTGCTACTCGATTTAAGAGTATTGGGGGGTCGGTCTGCCCACGCTCGACTGATGCGCTGACCGACATGAGCCAGATCCCAGTCGGTGATGGTTTGGCCACGTGGGCTTCAGAGCCTGAACTAACCCACTCTTAAGTTGCTCAACAAAAGAATTATCTTGCTGTTGGCCCAGTGTCTTGGGTTTTTCCTGAATTAATTCAATTACCAACTCCTCGAGGAACACCCTGGATGCCGGCATCTCCTGCTTAATACCATCCTGCAGCTATTCCTCCACGGGGTGTTGTGATACTGGACATCTGGCCATGAGCCAGAGACCTTTAATCCTCTCTCTGTAGAATTGCCATGATTTTGTTGAAAAACTTTGTTAGAAATACTGTTTTTCTACCAGGATCTTGGAAACCTTCCCCTGCTACTGGCACAAAAAGTAATGAAGAAAAATGCTTTCTTGAACGGTTTGGATAGCTTATATATCCAGTTAAATATTATAGACATTAAACTTGGGAAATGTTGAACCATGTGTTTGATATAAAATATCGCCAGCAGTAGTTTTGGAGAATTTGTGGCATGAGAGTGAGTCACTGATGAATGTTAGGATTGAACAAACTTCCATTATGAAACTGGACTTCATTTGACCAGCTATCTGCTTCCCTTGCAGACCTTCAGGTGCCAGTTTTGATTGTGGAAACTTACTTGCAGGAGAAATGGCATTGCCTGGATTAGTCACAAGAGTGGTTTGGCAGTTTTGCAGCCTGCAGGGAGCTTCTTCAGCTCTGCTAGTGAGACAGGGGAGGCTGGAAGGGGCTCATCTCACATTAAGTCTGTACCGATCGATCCAGGGGCAGCAGCTTTGATATCCCACAAGTCTGAAGACAGGGGCGTGTTTATGTTTCAGAAATCGAAAAAAGTGTTGGGGGTAAAAACAGAAATTCAGAAGCGCTTCATATTAAAAGGAAAAAAATAAAAAAAATAGTTCTGACAGCGCTGCAGCTTTTATAAGAAAAGCAGTGCTGCCTGTTGAGCAGGAGAGGAGACGACCTGTGGAATGAAAGGCGAGATGGCCTGGCCCAGCAGCTCTCGGCTCTGCGGTGGTTAGCGCCGCTCAGCAGCTTTCCCTGGACATTGTTTCTCCCGCCTGCCAGACTTCTGACACGTTGTGCTTCTGCTTTGCTTTGCGTTTTGTGTTAACGCACTTGGCTCTCCGTCTAACGCCGCCGCTCCGTGTGTAGCCCCCTTCTTGCCCCTTGGCGAGCTGGCAGGCGCCGCACCGCTGGCCGGTGCCCGCTTCCCTCCCCAGGGAGGGCGCGTTGACAGTGGGGGTGGCACTCGGATGACCCGAGCTGCTAGGTACTTCCCTTGCTTAGCCAACACCTCCTTGTAACCGGTGGAAGTGGGAAGAAATAGCACAGTAATTGGTCGACTTCACCACTGAGGTTGTTTCCGTCTCTCGCAGGGACCTAGGTCAGATATTCCTAACGGAGGAGGTCGGGGTGGCACCGGTGCATTTCAGGCTCTTGCCACGTGTCTCCAGGGAACCTCCCCAGGTCATTTTTCCCAGCGTAGGGAGTCAGAACATGTGGGATTTTTAGCTGTTAGTGTTTCCATCCCTCCCTGGACACCCACCCCGCTCCCCCCCCGGCAGATAATCGCTGCCCATAGCTGCGGGGGCAGTGAGGATGTCCCTTGCTGGTGTGAGTGCTTGCAGCCATTAATTATGGCCTGATTGGATTTCCCCCTCCCTCAGTCCTCACCGGTGCGGTCCCATACCCCCCTTCCGGGGTCCTGCGGGGCTCATGACCTGCAGTTTGAGACACACTGACTTAAGATTATTGCTGCTAATTAACCAAAGGGGGAAAGTGGCCAAGAGTGCTCGTTAAGACTGGCACAAGAACGCTGTGGAAACAACAGTGTGTTGTGAGGGAAGACTTGCAGAATTCTGCCTCCGGGGAGGGGGTGCCTGCTGGGGAGCGGTAGGGTCAGCTGTTGAAATAAATTTTTTCTTTCTCTCCGTTACTTTAATTTTAAAAGATGTTTTCCTGCTAAATCTCGTTGTGAATGGAGTTGCTGTTTTAATGCTTCCAAAATGCGTTTCCTCCAGGGGTTTATTATAATCACTGAATAGAATCTTGAATATTTCTCGAGTTTATCTTGGGGTATTATGAGCGATTCTGCAGTTTAGCCGTAGGTGATGTTTCTCCAGCTCGTTTTGAGACCCGGCGCCCTGCCTTTTGGTGTTAATCACCTTATTTCTTCGCCTAAAACACGCTAATGGCGATTGCTAGAAATCTGCCGGGTGGCCGTGCAACCGCCAGGCCAGTCCTTAAGAAAAGGCGTCAGATGCTGCGTATTTGCCCTCAGCAGCGAGTAGCTAATGGTTCTGTTCCGTCGACCCAGGTACGATCACATCCTGAAGTGGGAGCTCTTCCAGCTGGCGGACCTGGACACCTACCAGGGGATGCTGAAGCTGCTCTTCATGAAAGAACTGGAACGGATCGTTAAGCTGTACGAGGCGTACCGGCAGGCTCTCCTCACCGAGCTGGAGCACCGCAAGCAGAGGCAGCAGTGGTATGCCCAGCAGCACGGCAAGAATTTTTAAGCTAACAACTCTTTTTGATAGACTTTTACGAGGACACTTAAGAGCTTTAAAAGGTTTTCACACTTCAAACTATGAAAAAAGTGCTTTTGTTGAAAAGGCAGCTTATTTTTGTTGACGTTGCACCTTTGTTATTATCCTCTTGAATATTTTTCTACCTGTATTATGTATTGTTTATAAAAAATGAAAAATGTTTGTTAATCTTTTTCCATACAAGAAGTAGTTTATTATTCTGCAAACCAGCGCGGAGTTTAATCAGAGACTTGATTCTGGTATCTTTTTCTAGCAGTCAGCTGCATTATTTAGAAGCTGACTATATATTTTTAAAGGACAGTAGATGCAACTATATGAAGTGTCCTGGATTCCAAACATTGTTCAAACCCAAGTGAGTATTTCCATGTATTTCCCTCGGGACTTGGTAGCCCTCTCTTGCGAGAGGTCTGCTCTTTGTTTACAGCTTTAATGTACAGAACACCGACGCGGTTCCTGTTCAGTAACACCCAGACAGGAGCAGATTTCATCGATGTAAACCAAGTGCTTCATGAAAATGAAGTCTGAGTTGCCTTATTTTTTACTTTAACGCATTGCTACTTTAGGTTTACTACTAGTTTTCACAGAAATTAGAGGGGAAATACTTGTACCTTCTTAAAGACCAACTTTTCACGGGTTTTTAAATCCAAGGTAAACTGCGTTTCATGAAATGTGACCCAGCCACGTGGGAAGGTGATAGCATTGTCCAACCAGCTGTACCACACCATGGGAAAAATCAGGGATGTAACAACAACTGCTTTTTTTTTAAAAAAAAACCAAGCTTTTGTCTTGTAGTAAAGCTTCCTTACTTGGGGAAAACTTGTACAGTTACCCTCTCCAATATTTTCATTTGGTTCATTGATTGTCCTGAAATGTTATTTATGTTTTTGGTTTTTTTTTTTTAGTGCAATAAACATTGTTGCAGGCAAAAAATACATTTCTTGTAAATCCTATTAATTCAATAAAAATCATTTTGTTTAATGAAAGAAGAGTTGTCCAACTGATTTTTTGCCTTTTAGAACATCAAATAAAATCCGTTCAGTGGAGAGGGAACTGGCTGGCTGGTCAGAGTTGTGATCAACTGCTCGGTGTCCCAGTGGAGGCCAGGGACGGGCGCCGTCCCGCGGGGGTCGGGGCTGGGCCCGGCGCCGTTTCCCATCTTTGCTGGGACACGGGCAGTGGGATCGAGGCCCCCTCAGCACCGAGCTGTGCGGTGGGGGACACGCGGGAGGGCTGGGGGGGCTGGAGCAGCTCCCTGGGGGGCTGGGCTGAGAGAGTTGGGGGGTTCAGCCTGGAGAAGAGAAGGGTCCGGGGGGACCTTCGAGCAGCCTCCCAGGGCTTAAAGGGGGGACAGGAGAGGGGGGGAGGGACTCTGGGTCAGGGGGTGGGGGTAGGACGAGGGGGGACAGTTTTAAACTGCCAGAGGGCAGATTTAGGTGAGATCTGAGGCAGAAATTGTTCCCTGTACGGGGGGTGAGGCGCTGGCCCAGGGTGCCCAGAGCAGCTGTGGGTGCCCCCTCCCTGGAAGGGTTCAAGGCCAGGTTGGACGGGGCTGGGACCCCCCTGGGCTGGGGGAAGGGGGCCCTGCCCGGGGCAGGGGGGGGGCACTGGGGGGGCTTTGAGGTCTCTCCCAACCCGAACCGTCTTGCAAGTCTGTGATAACCACAAAGATCTGAGCGGGGCGGTGAAAACCGGTAGCTGGTTTTTCTGAAGGCAAGGGTGGTTCCGCTGCGCTGCTTCAGCCTCCGCTGTTAAAAGCTGGAGCCTTTATTTTGCCTAAAACCCGGCTTTACCTTATTAGCGCCATAAGCACCTCGCAGAGGTCACGGCTGAGCAGGACCCAGGCCAGAGTATTTTTAAAAGATCAACTTAAACACCAATTCAGAAAGCCAGAAGGAAACCAAGAATGTAAAAAACCCCAAGAGAAGACGCTCCCATCTCGTAATAAACTTCTTAGGAACTGAAAGCAAACTTTAATAGTTCTGACAATAAAAGAATAGAACCGTTGAACACACTTTCTATGCACTATAATGAATATATATACAGAAATACAGTGAAACTTTCTCCAATACATATACAAAGTGATACTTTGTGCATCGGTTACAAACAGAAAAGTAGGTTTTCCTTACAAGATCGTTAACATACCACAGCAGAAGTGCCCTTACAGTTTCTGATAAAGCAAGTTAATACATTTTTAATTATGTTTCTGTAATTAAATGGTTAATTGAAGAAAAAACTTGGTTACGTGTTACAACTTGTTCAAGTATCTTGAAAGTAAGTTGGCCTTTGAAGAAGCTAGGGTCTGGAAGAGTTTTAGTTGCTGTATCATGTAAATTAAGATTTCTTCAGTGACTTCATAATGAATTAAGAAAGGGAAAATAAGGCTTCATAAATTAGCTGGGGAGTATGCTGGCTATTACAAATTAACAGCACTTTGTAGTTGCGGCGGTACCAATATGTACATATTAACAAAAATGAGGGAAATAAAAAAAAAAAAAAAAAAAGAAGAAACCATGCTGCCATCTCCCCGTCAAACACACCGACCCCCCCGCCCCGGGCTGTGTTCGCTGCTCTCCCTGTCCCCCGGCGGGAGCTTGTGGGTGCGAGGATGAGGATGGTGAAGAACCGAGGCGGAGGCGCCCGCGGCGACGGGAACGCGCCGGCTTTACACCTTCTTCCTCTCCGAGCCCTCGGCGGGCTCCGCTTTCTGTGCGGGGAAGGCGTGGTGGTACAAATGTCTGTGGGTCGCGGCCGCGCTGTACAGTTTGTACAAAGCCTGGGGGGGAAAGAAAGAAAAAAAAAAAAAAAAAAAAAAAAAAGAGAGAGAAGCTGGTTACGGCCCCCAGCCCCCCCCGGCGTGAGCCGCGCCGCGCGGGTTGGTTTGTGCACCAACCCCTGACTGTGGCCAGTGACCAACAGGGAAAAGAAGGAAGAATCACCAGTTCGCTCATTCTTCAAACGTCTCAGTTATGAGAGGTGTCGTTTCCACCCCCCCCCCCCCCCCCCCCCCCCCCCGAAGTTGTATTAAATCAAGGACTAAGGGACTTAGGGGGGTGCAGGTAAGGGGGGGGGGGTTGGGGTTTGTTTTTCTTTTTTTTTTCCTACAGGTTTCATGCACGGTGGTTAAATTTCTGCATCCTCAGCATTTTGTTTCACACCACCAGGCAGCTCCATCTTGCAGCAGACGGAGGGCTTTGCTATCTAGTAGGTACCTGGTTTGGCTAGATAATTTTTCTGCAGGTTTTTGTTTTTTTTTGTTTTTTTTCCTGCAGATAATTGTTCTGCAAACTCTTTTCTGCTCCGGCAGGAGCGGAGCGTGGGCAAAGGCCGTGTGGCCGTGGGCTGCATTTCCCATACAGAGCCAATATCAGAGCGGTCACGGGGCTGAGACAAAGCTCTGAACCTGGGGAGGGGGGAGTGACAAGGACCCCCCACACACACACCCCACTGTGGGCTTTAAACCCCACGCAAACAGCAGAGGGGATGCCGACGTCCCTGGGTCTGGCTGCAGAGGACTTGGCTGACACGGTTCTGACATTCCCATTTCAAATGAACACGTGATTGGGAAAAATTAAAACGAAAAAAAAAATAATAATAAAAAAAATAAAACCAAACTAACCCCCCCACACACACATCAGCTCCTGCTGGGGATCTGAAGCCTGTTGGGGAGCCAGGATGGGGTGGGAAGAGGCAAGTGTCGTGTGATGACACAGGGTGATGTGTTCCTCATGTTCCTCGTGCGCTCGGCGGGTGCTGAATGAAGCAGGCGAGGCCGAAGCCGCAGCGAGGAGGAGGAAGGGGGGGGGGGGGGTTGAGAAGCCTCTGGGGGTGTTGGAGGCGATGCTGAGTGCAGCCCAAAAGGGCCCTTGGAAATGGAGGTGGGACGTCGCGTGCAAGAGCTTTGGGATTCTTTGGGATCACAGGGGGCTGGTGGAGGAGACTTCATGCGGCTTCTCTGGGTTTCCTGCTTGAAAAATTCACCTTCGCATCCTACAGAAGCGACCTTGCAACATTTTGGGCTGCTGTTCGTGCCCAACCAGCCCCACAGCACCGACTTTTTACCTGACAGGATTTGCTCAAGAGCTCACCAGTGGCAAAGCCCACGTTCTGCCTCCTGCTGTGGCAGAAGCCGGAGCAAAGCCCGTGACCCCAGAGGTCGGGCGCTTGGCGCTGCTCAGCGTTTGTGGGCACAGTGAAGTACCAAAACGGCCGCCCCGGGGCTGCTCGGGGCAGGAATGGGTTGATTTTTAACTATTTCTTTTTATCTTTAAATGGCCTTTTGGACCTGTGAGAGCTGCTCCAACTTTAAGAGGTGCTCCTCACATAACTCAGTGGCTGAAGCGCGTGGCGACACGATAAAAAAGACAGAGATTTTGTCACACCCCCCCGGCCCGACCGGGGCAGCACTTGCCTACCACGCAGGCTTAACGTACGTGCGCAGGACCACAGACCAGGATGCCTTTTTTTTTTTTTTTTTTAATTAGATGCTGACGAGGCTTTGCCTAAACAAGGTTCCAGTCGCCCCCGGCACAGGCAAGCGGCTCGGTGCTCAATCTGGTAATGGGGTGGTTTTGCCCAAAACACGACGCGCGGCACTTCCAGCAGCACAGAGAGGCCTCGCCAAGTGGGGGGGGGGGGGGGGGGGGGGCTCTGCCTGCCTGACCCCCCCACACACACAGTTGGTGCTACAAAACAAACCGGTGTTTCGGTTTGACCTCTCAGCACAACAGGAAAATCCCCCAACCGAGCTGATGGGAGAAAGATGAAAATCCCCATCAGAACAAACACGCTCCCTTGCCCAAATCTCTCCCCTACTTGGCTTCCAGCACCGCCTGGAGCGCGGCGCCCAGGTTTAACCCCCTTCCCCAGGCATCTGGATCCCAGGGAACAACCAGAGCCCGGCTGCCAGTGGTCCCAGTGCAGGACCAGGATGCCACCGCTGCCCAGAGCCCTCGGGGCTCCCCGTCCCCCGCGAGCCCGAAGGCAGCGACGCGGCTGAAACGTGCATTTGGGGCCGAGATGCTTCCCCCCCCGGGAGCCGAGCGGCGTCGCATGCGGAGAACAAGAGTCACTTACCTCATTTGTGCTTCCCTGGGGAGAGGCATTGGGAAGAAAAAGGGGGAGAAAGGAGGGGAGAAAAAAAAAAAAAAAAAAAAAAAAAAGCATCTCTGTGTATCACACACGTCCGTGGGAGCGCACGGTGCTCACACCTCTGGCCACAGCCACTTGCTGGTGCCGCTGTGGCCGCGTATCCCCGGGGGGGGGGCTTGCCCCAGCCCCTCTTGCAGGAGCCCTCACGGCTCCATCCACCCCTCCTGCAGCCGAGCGCTGGCGTGGGACGGAGCCACGAGGGCTTCGACCCCGCTGCTGGGCCAGCACCACCCGTCTGCACGGATCCCCCTCGGGGGAACCCTCCCTCGGGTTGGGATACAGCCCGCGGGGGCCGGCTGGGGCACAGCTGCAGGCACTTTAACCTCTTTTATTTTCTCCCAGCTGGGTAAGAAGCAAGTGAGCAGCGTTTCTGGCTTCCTGCGTCCTGCTCTTGCTTAAAAACCCCTCCCTGGTTCCTGCGCAGGGATGGGTAAATTGTTGGGCTTAAAACACGCCAGCGTATCCCCCATGCAACCCGGGAAGCGTCCCCGAGCAGAGAGGCACTGCACGGGCACCGCAGCGGGGCTTATCGTGGATGCTCAGGCTGCGGAGGACAGGGCAGCCAAGATGAACCCGCCTGGGACACCTTATCTGAAAGGCAGCTCAGCTGAGCAC